GTTCTTGTTCTTTTTATGTAAATACATCTTCGATTCCAATTTTATTAAGTAATGGAATCAGTTCAATAATTCTAATAAGCAATTTACGAAACGTCAATGTTACGTCAAACATAGGCAAACGTTAAATTGATTTCCAATCTCATCAAACAAACAGGAAAATGCATGTCAATACAAATAACTATTCCACTTTTTTTTTTATGTAAAAACATCTTTTTTTGATTTGTTATGTAATGGAATCAGTTTTAATAAGCAATTGACAGAACGTCAAAAAAATGTCAAACGTCAAATAACTATTCCACATTTCTTTATGTAAATACATTCAGTTCAATAAGTCTAATAAGCAATTGACAGAACGTCAACTGTACGTCAAAAATTAGTCAAACGTCAAATAACTATTTCACTTGTTCTTGTTCTTTTTATGTAAATACATCTTCGATTCCAATTTTGTTAAGTAATGGAATCAGTTCAATAATTCTAATAAGCAATTTACGAAACGTCAATGTTACGTCAAACATAGGCAAACGTCAAATTGATTTCCAATCTCATCAAACAAACAGGAAAATGCATGTCAATACAAATAACTATTCCACTTTTTTTTATGTAAAAACATCTTTTTTTGATTTGTTATGTAATGGAATCAGTTCTAATAAGAAATTGACAGAACGTCAAAAAAATGTCAAACGTCAAATAACTATTCCACATTTTTTTATGTAAATACATTCAGTTCAATAAGTCTAATAAGCAATTGACAGAACGTCAACTGTACGTCAAAAAATAGTCAAACGTCAAATAACTATTCCACTTTTGTTCTTTTTATGTAAATACATCTTCTTCGATTCCAAGTTTGTTAAGTAATGGAATCAGTTCAATAAGACTAATAATCAATTGACAGAACGTCAACTGTACGTCAAAAATTAGCCAAACGTCAAATAACTATTTCACTTTTGTTTTTTTTTATCTAAATACATCTTTTTCGATTTGTTAAGTAATGAAATCAGTTCAATAAGCAATTGACAGAACGTAAACTATACGTCAAAAGATAGTCAAACGTCAAATAACTATTTCACTTTTATTCTTTTTATGTAAATACAGCTTCTTCAATTCCAATTTTGTTAAGTAATGGAATCAGTTCAATAAGTCCAATAAGCAATTGACAGAATGTCAACTGTACGTCAAAAATTAGTCAAACGTCAAATAACTATTTCACTTTTGTTGTTTTTATGTAAATACATCTTTTTCGTGTCCAATTTTGTTAAGTAATTGAAACAATTCAATAAGTCTAATAAACAATTGACAGAATGTCAACTGCCAAAATTAAGACTAATAAGCAATTTACGAAATGTCAACGTTAAGTCAAAAATAGACAAACGTCAAATTTATTTCTCATCAAACAAACAAAAATTCATATACAATACAAATGACTATTTTTGTTCAATTCACTTTCACAAAATAGGAAATTTAAGGAACGTTATGTCATAGACAAACAAACGTCAAAGTTATTACCAATCTGAAACAAAAATAAAAATGCATTACAATACAAATAACTATTCCACTATTCATCAATTTCTTTATCTAATTCGATTACAACCGATATTAATTTCTATTTGAAACATAAAGAACATCAACGTCACGTCATAAAAATAACGACAAATTATAACAAAGTTTTCAATGCTGTCCAAACATAAATTATATTAATATACGTCTTGCACGTTATGAATGTCAATGTTTTACTGTTGACTGTTGATATGTGATTGGCAAAGTTCGTTTCGCATTGATTTAACATAAATTACGGGACTAGAATAGCTTATTAGGTGATTGGTCTGATGTTGACATGCACAACACAATTTCGCTCAATTAAGTAACACGAGCATCCCTCGAGTATTAACTCTCTGCTCAGCTCATATTATTAATATTATGTACGGTCTAGGGTGTGTGCTAATATGCAACACAAAGCGAATTTATTATATTAATCCCATTTAATTAATATTTTAAACAATATTTCATTATCATCATCAACAAATTAAAACTTTAAATATTTGAATGGAAATATGATCAGAAAGTTGTTCAAAATAAGAAAATTTCATCTATTTCAAGTTATTGCAAATACTTGAAATTTGCACAAATAATTAACAAGTATAAAAATTGAATAATTGCAATTAGTGTTGTGATGTTTTTCATTGTTTGAGATGTTTCCAATATGTAGAAATTGCTATTTGCAAATGGAAACGCAGAATGTAATTATTGGTAATTTCCCATAAGAGCAGTATACGCGATTTTTTCTGAAAGCCTTGTTATTAAAACATGCTTGCAGAGAGACAGAGGTGACTTTGGGTGGCGGTGGCGTCGGGGGGGCAGAGGTTTGTTTTATGGCCGTTGTTATATTGTAACATGTAAAACAGGCGTTAAATGGAATTGTCGCAATGAAATATACCCTCAGTCGCCGCCGCCGTCGATAAATTGCAAGGAATTTCAGCGGGCGGATCCTTCGAGGAGAGGTCCTGGGGGGTGGCGGCTGCGGTGCCACCTAGCGGAGCGTCCCCGTAAACTTTAAAACTCGGTTATCGCGGACGCACCTAACGACACAAGGGCGGCCACTCATAAATCGCGCTCCGAAAAATACAACCGATGGAGAAGAAAAAAAAAATTGAAAACAAAATAGAAAAGACAAAATCGATACCCGCCGCCCCCGAAAACGAATTACGTAGTAACCCCTTGTTTTTTTTTGTTGTTGTTGTTGATGTTGTCGAAGCCCCCACGTGTATTATCGTTTATTTGAAGATCCTATTTAATAATCGATGTAAATCTTGGGGAGAAAATATGAGCGCGTTTAAAATTCAAGCGGAGAAGAAAAAAAAAACTTTTTTTTTATTATTATTCGTGAATTACGCGATAAATGGATGGTAATGGGTCTGGGATTATGTAAAGCAGCTCCTCTTTCTTTTTTTTGTTACCTTTTTAATATCTTCTTTGATACATGTTCCTTTGTTGCTTGTTTACCGTGCGTTTTCTCATGGTGTCTCCGGTCTTTTTTTATTAACCTGCAGGACTGCACCAACTTGATATGTCACATCGAGGATAAGGGTTGCGTCGAGTCGCATACGCCTCCGGCAGACGGCACAAACTGCGGCGAAAATAAGGTTGATATTATTTCGAGGCCAATGTTTTCTGCTTTGATTCTGTACTTTTGTTTTCGCAGTGGTGCTTTGCTGGTGATTGCGTGGAGAAGGGCGAGAGACCGGGGGCGGTGGATGGAGGTTGGGGCAAGTGGCACGAGTGGAGCGAGTGCACCAGGACTTGCGGTTCGGGGGTGGCAAGTCAGGAGAGACATTGCGACCATCCGCCTCCCATGATGGGCGGTAAGTTCTGCGCCGGGGAATCCAAGAGATACAAGATATGCAGCACAGAGGTATAGCTAATAAACCTACTTCTCCCACATGAGCACTGATGTAGAAAACGTTTTCTAAAACT